ATGTTACTTTTGATGAGAAATTTATGCTTCACCCGAGAAAGGAATTTGTTATTTACACTACAGGTATTGAAAAGGAGTTTAGCAAGCAGGTGGAGCTAGAGAGCTCAGCTTCAAAGATAGTGCTTAAGGGCGCTCATGTTGAACCAGTTGACACTGCGAAAGGTTCAACTTCAGATGTTGATACACCGCAAGAGCAAAAATATAATATTATCACCGAGACAACAAAAAGACAGATCCGATCTCCTCAACGTTATGCAGACATGCTTGCTTACGCTTTGAACATAACTGAATCGATTGAGATTTCAGAACCTTCTACCTAGAAGGAGGTTATTAGTGGCAATGATGCTGCAAATTGGATTGTTGCAATGACTAAAGAGATGGAGTCTCTTCACAAGAACCAGACATGGGAGTTAGTGAAGCCACCAAGGAGATGGAAAATTGTTGGCTGTAAATGGGTCTTCAAGAAGAAAAAATGAGCTCCGGATACAGATTTTGTAAGGTACAATGCACACTTGGTAGCTAAAGGCTACAGCAGATAGAAGGTGTGGACTTTAATAAAGTATTCTTTCCAGTTGTAAAGAACACCTTAATCCGCGTGTTTCTTGTCATGGTTGCTCATTTTAATTTAGAGCTTGAGCAACTTTATGTGAAGACGCCTTTTCCACATGACGAGCAGATCTTTATGCATCAGCCAGATGGGTTCATTGTTGAAGGTAAAGAAGATTATGTGTACAGATTAAAGAAATCTCTTTATGGGTTGAAACAGTCTCTGAGAAAGTGATATTTGAGACTTGATACTTTCATGTTTGAGCATTGTTATTCTAGGAGTAAATATGATAGTTGTGTTTATCATAAAAAGCTCAATGATGGTTCTTTTGTGTATTTACTTTTGTATGTTGATGACATATTGATTGCAGCTAAAGATATGTCAGAAATCAATGAGTTAAAATCTTAACTCAAACATTAGTTTGAGATGAAGAACTTATGAGCAGCAAAGAAGATATTAGGGATGAAGATCCACAGAAACGGGCTGGAATGAAATTTATTCCTATCTTAGGATAAATACATCAAGAAGGTGTTGGAGGGATTTGACATACTTGATGCTAAGCCTGTGAAAACTCTGCTTGGTGCTTATTTTCGCCTTTCAGCAGAATTGTCACCTCAGACTGAGGAGGAGGGGCAGTACATGTCTTGTGTTCCTTATGCGAGTCCAGTTGGAAGCATTATGTAAGTTACGGCCTGCATCCGTCCTGATATTTCACATGCAGTCAGTGTTGTTAGTCGGTATATGGATAAGCCTGAAAAGGTCTATTGACAAGCTGTGAAATGTGTACTTAGATATTTGATAGGATCAACTAATATTGATTTATATTTTGGCAGGAACACAAATTTAGATTGCAGAATACTTGGTTATTCTTATTCAGATTATGCGGCTGATTTGGATAAGAGACGATCCCTGATAGATTATATATTCACTCTTTCAGATAATGCCATTAGTTGAAACGTTACTCTACAGTTGACAATTGTTTTGTCTACCACAGAGGCAGAGTATATGGCAGTGACAAAAACTGTTTGGTTAAGAGGTTTGGTTGAAGATCTCGATTTACACCAATGTGTTATTACAATATTTTGTGACAGCCAGAACGCTATACATTTAACGAAGCATCAGATGTATCATGAAAGAACCAAATATATAGATGTCAGTTATCATTTTATCAGAGAAATTAAAGTCATTAAGATTGAGAAAATTGGTATTGCAGATAATCCAGCATATATGATGACGAAGCTCGTACCTTCACGCAAGTTCGAGCATTGTCTCGAATTGCTTGGAGTTCAACAAAGCGAAGGTTAAGCCCGTAAGGGGCTTCTAGCGAGACAACAAGAGTGAAGAGAAGATTTTCATATTCAAAGTCAAGGTGGAGATTTGTTATTTGACTTTGAATTCAACTCATTAGCCCTATTACTGTTCTACCAACCCAAAATACTGTTCCACCAACCCAAAACATTGTTCCACCAATCCTTTTGAAGGCTATAAATAGAGGAGAGTGGTGAAGGGTCAGAGCATCGAATAGTGTTTTGGGTTGGTAGAACAGTAATAGTGTTGGTGAGTTGAATTCAAAGTCAAATAACAAATCTCCACCTTGACTTTGAATATGAAAACCTTCTCTTCATTCTTGTATAGACATCTTCTGTGTTTGTGAAGCCCCCCGCTGCAACAATTCATGTAAAAAACTATGGTTTTGGTGATGATATAACATTATTGTTTTCTGACTTCTCTTTTTAGTAATAGATTATTATATTGGAATGACAAGTGTGTTTATTTTTTTCTCCGTTAAATATATCTGAACAGAATAATTATTTGGAAAGAATTATCATTATGAAAGCTTATGGAGATCGGGAATTTGAAGATTTTTGAGTTGATAGTTTAGGACCAAAAAGGGACAACTGCATCCAAATCCTTTAGCACCAAAAAAACTAAATTGAATATTAATTGGAGATTGATTCTTGTTTATATTATTTTGATATATTTTGGACTTTGAAGACTATCTTCGCTTGATTTTTTGAAACTATAATTAATTACCTTAGAAAGAGCCTTCCATGTTTGGAATAGACTAAATTCGATTACATGGTGTTACCCAGAAGATGAGTCATTCTAGCGCCTAATTAGTTATCTACTCATGTGATATCATAACAGGATTCATACTATTCGGATATGGATTCAATTATAAATGCCAATCTGACCAAAAGTTATTTGGGCTCCAGAAACCAATTTTATGACCAGATATTGGATCAGGGTATTGTGTTTTTTATGGATATCATGACATGTACAGCTCTGGCATTTAGAGTAGATAACTAAGTGTGTGGGAAAATATAACATATATGAAATGATAATGATATGCATTCCTAAGTATAGGATCAGAATATATATTCAAAAACAAAGCGTTGGATCAGCACAAAAAGAATGATCACCTTGCTGTGTTTGCTTCGTAACTAGTCCTCCTTTGGTAAACATAATTTGTGTTTGAGAATTTACCTTTGTGTCCTGGATGTATGTTCATTTCTCGGTCAGGATGATCCTTTTTCTTGTGCTTTTGACCCGCGCATTGAGGAGACAAATTTCTAATATATAGGTTGCTGGTTTATTGTTACACTAGATGTTTAAAAAGAAACAATGGCTATCATCCACCATTATTTCTAGCATTGGAATGGAAATTTCTATAACTATTAGTGATTGCTTAATAGTAAACTTTAGACCCTTTTAGTTAGCTTCAACATCTACTTCAAATATGTATGCCAATTGGCTTAGGGTTTCTTAAATTGGATTCTGGATTGAAGGGAAATATTTGTTATAAGTATCTAAACTGGGATATTAATTAAATTCATAAAAGTTGGACTACCCATTGTGGATGGCAGACAACGGGGATACTATCATTTGACACAGTTTTTATCTTAGGTTAAACATTAATATTCAATTTCTTATTTAAAAAAAAGGCAACTGAGTGTTCTATATTTTTTAATCATTTATCAATATGTGATCATATGTGAAATATCAAACTTTCCTGATGTTTGGCCTCCATGAAAAATTTAGAAGCATAGCAATCGTGAAAAACTCCCATATCTGGACAACTATATCACAACTAAATAATAGCTTTGCTTGGTATTTGAAG